TTAATTCAGATTCCCACTGACTGCCTTGTTGTAGGGAAATGGTTGTGAAACTCTCCTGGTCCAGTCCAGGTGGTTGCAGCTATATTTCACCTTTGCTAATTAGGAGAGAGTTTGTCTCTGAATTTCCCACTAACTACATTTCCTAAATAAATAGTGGGAATCTGAATTAAATCAGGCATTCCAAGGTGTTCCTCTCATCGATTCTAACAATTTTCAAACAAACCAGACAGCAAGCAGTTGGAATCCCAGTAGCCTGAATAACCCAAACTCTTATTTTCTGTACATTTCCATTACAGGATAACAGTCTCGGGGATAAAAGGTTGAACACCTATGTTGTGAGTGCCAGCATTGAAAATGTATCAATTCACCACCTCAGTGAGCCAGTGAATATTATCCTACAGCATATAAAACCAAATAGGGTACGGCATTTTTATTTAATCACAGGCCTCTTCAATTAAAATCAATTTCATCTCTGTTCATCCTTAAAATAGGATTACCTGTCTTGTTGTCCACTTGAAACGTTCTTCCTACTGAACTAATCTTTGCAGGTCAACGGCAAGACTAACAGTTCAAACAGATTTCAGGCTGTCTGTTTAATTCACACAAGTTACCTAAGCACGTATTCCCTTCGCAAATCTCTAGCTGGCAGAAAGGGGCACTCCCTCTTTTACCTTGATTTCAGGGAAATCAACACAAGTTGATTCACCCCCCCCCCAATGCCTATTAATTGAGATTAAGAAACTATAATTCAGCACTTAGATAGTGCAAAGGAACAGCAACACAAACACAAAAATGCTACACCCAGTCTGGGTGCTGGCATGCAGAAATAAGACTTGATCTGCAGAAGTACAAGAAGTGGCCCACAGTATACTGATTGTACTTTTCAATTATTAGGCCCTTGGCTAAAATTTTGTTGTGTCCTTTTGTTACAAAGAGCACATGAAAACACACACAGTTTCAGAGAGGAGCCTGCTTTTTATTGCCGATCGTATTAATCAGAAACAACTTTTTGGAGTATTGTAAGGGCAGAAAGGCAGAGGAAAGCACTTTGTTTCTTCTTACATCCTTCAGGCGCTACCTAGAAATACTGCATATTAACATTTAGGGTGAAATTCACCCCTCCTTCTGCACAAAGCTTTGGTAATATTATATAATACTTATATTGCGCTTTCCATCCATACCTCTCCATGGACTTCCCAAGGGTGGGTGGGTACTTGACACTTCCCATCACTTGACAGATGGAAAGCTGAGACACAGAATAGGTAGGTGACCTGCCACAGCAAGTGCGTGACCAAGCTGGTCTACTGGTCCAGGTCCTGTTGTGCCGCTGTAAGGTCCCTAGTGTAGACATAGCCTAACTCTTACAGAATAAGGTAAACATACTGATGGGAGGTTGGGATGATCTAGGAAACTGGTAATGGGAAAACCACTGATCTCTAGGATGCCCCTTCTAATCTAGCCCAGGTCGGCAGTAAAAGTTGTTACCACCTGAGAGCTTTTGGATGGCACATGTGAAATTGCTGGTACTCTTAAGTCCAGCTCTCAGTGGACAGGAGTTTGCACATCCCAAAAACCACCCGTACATTTGGTAACCTTGCTCATGGTCTCAGCAGAGACCCAGGTGTGAATGAGAACAGACTGAACTCCACTTCTATTTCTAGATGGGATACTTAAGTCAGACTTGAGACACATTAACAGGGCAACATGGAGGAAGCTTGCACTCCAACTGGCCATGTAGCTGTTGTTGAACCAAGCAGAAGTCTTTGCCAAACCCAGTTTTTGCCCCTCAAAGTGGAAAACAAATTAGGATTGATCACTTCTCATATAGTCAGAGTTAAAGAGCAGACATTAAAGGGAGTGTACAGCAATGTCACAGCACTCATTTTCCTTTCTTTCAGAACAAATCTACAGAGCACTGTGTGTTTTGGGACTTTATGAAGAACAGTAAGTACTATTTACAAGGGCACCATATTTTAGCCATCACCATCCTGATGATGCCCTTGGCTACCTAATGTGGCGTCACAAATGCTGATGTCTGTAGTTCAGGTCAAATGCATCCAGGATAGGTGCTTCTTACTGAAGTCTACACCAGTGGGCACATGTCATCCCAGGTCTCATGGCCTGGGGTGGCCCACAGACACGCTTCCTCAGTTTCTCTGAGTTCCCCAAGAATAATCCAATCACAGCCAAACTCTTTGAAACAATAGTTTCTCCTCTTCTAGGGTCTAACTTATTCAATATCATTTAGCATTCACAAACATTCATTTCTGCACACCCCTCAGGGTGAGGCTTGCACAGTCCACCTTCCTAGGACTCAAGTATCAGGACTCTTGCATCTGAAGAAGTGAGGTTCTTACCCACGAAAGCTTATGCTCCCAGTACTTCTGTTAGTCTCAAAGGTGCCACAAGACCCTCTGTTGCTTCCTAGGACTGTGGCTTTATGTTCTGGCCTCCCCCGTCCATGACTCACCACTCAAACCTAGTCCCTTCCTGGGACTGTGGTTCATAGACTTCTTTTCCCCAGCAGCTTCTTTCAGTAACTCCCTTCCCGAGGGACTGTGACAGGCATCTGCCTTTTCCGGACTCTTTTTACCCAATCCTCTCCTTTATCAGAAGCCTAATTGAGTTATGTTACCCATTTTCTGCACCTGGGGAGACAGGTTATGCTTGTCACAGATGGGCTGGGTTCCATCTTCCCTCAAGGGGCCAGCCATTCTATGACAACCAATATAGTCAGTGTTATAACTGAGGGGTGGTCATTTAGCAGTACTTGTAATGAGGCATCAACACAAATGGTGAAAAGTAAAACTAAGCTAAAAGCAGAGTAAAAGTAAATCTAAAACTAAATTTACTTAAGAATAACATTGATTTGATCAATTTAAGCTTCAAATGTTTAATAAGTAGGTATGATGAGCAGACATGAATAATAAACCCCCTCTGGGCAGGCTAGGCACAAGATTGGGAGTCAGGATATAGATACTGTAGTAATCACTGTATTATAAATGCATAAGACCAACAGACCTGGGTTTTCTGTTCCTGATTCTGACACTCATCCACTTGTAAAATGGGGATAACAATTTCCTCCCTCACAGTAGTGTTATGAGACCTAATTCATTAATGGTTGTTAAGGAACAATAAGATATTCAGCTAGAAAGTGCTTTAGACACACACAGTATTATTATAATCATCTTCACCTGGGACATGCAAGTGACCAGGACTCATTCAGTGGAGTATGGTTAGCATAAGGAGGTGCTGTTCATAGCTCTAGCTCATTAAACAGGAATGCGGTTGGACAGGTTATCCTTATTGAAAATGCTACCGAAGGTTGCTGAGTATTCATGTTGGGGATAATTCTGCACTGGTGCAAATCAGGAGTAACTATTGACTGCAATGTAGCTACACAGGTATAATACTAGGGTCAGTGGAGAATCAGAGCTGGCGTAGGCTCAAACCACAAAATTTGGATTAGGATTCTGAATTTGCAGGAGAGTCTGGATCCAAGGTTTTGGTTTGGCCCATTATAAATAAAGGGGCCTGTCATGGAATTTGGATCAGGGTTCAAATCTGAAAGTTCTCAGAATTCATGGGTGACAGGATCCAGGATTTGGGGTTGGCCCATCTTATTTGTGTTCTGATTTTAATGTGGACCAGCAGTATAACTAACACTTTCTGGTAAGATAAAATAGCTCCCAGTAACGAAAGTACTTCCCTCCCCAAACCCATGAAATGCTCACGGGAAGGGCTAGCTGATCTCCTGGTTAGAAATGGCAGAAAATCACTGTCGATGTACTTAAATCTATTGAGTGTGTCAGGATGGAGCTAACAAAAAATTAGAGTTAGGCTATGTCTAGGGTGACCAGATGTCCCATTTTTAAAGGGACAGTCCTGTTTTTGGGGACTTTTTCTTATATAGGCACCTATTACCCCCCACCTCCCATCCCGTTTTTTCACAGCTGCAATCTGGTCACCCTAGCTATGTCAACACCGGACCTGTGTCGCCGTAAGGTCTCTTATGTAGCTGGCTATGCCGACAGGAGAGAGCTCTCCTCCCAATGAGTGGCTGTAGGTTGTCCACACCAGCCCTTTTGTCAGTGAAGCTTCTGTCAGTCAGGGGGGTGGTTTTTTCATACCCGACCAACAAAAGTGCTAGTGTAGACATAACCTTGTACTGCAAACAATACTAAAAGAGCTCCAAAATGCTTCAGAAGGGGGAGGGGTTGCTTCATGTCAGTCTGCAGTGAGCCCCTTCAGCCATTCATCTCTATCTGGAAGGGTAGGCTGGTTCAAAACAGGGCCTTTGAAAGGGGGGGGGAGCAAATAAAGGGGAGATTGGGAGTTCCGGGGAGATCACTTCTTTCCCCCTAAGAAGCTTTACATATCATGGTTTTGCAATGAAAGATCAACATTCTTCTCAGAATTACCCCATTAAGTTAATGGTGTCATTCTAGTGTAGCTGAGCATGGAATTTGGCCCACACTTTCTGCAGATTCAGGAAGACACCAGTGTACTGATTTACAATCAGCTTGCATTTGGGAGCTAATGCTAGAAATTTCTTCTTCTAGTTTAGATTCTGAATATGTGATACCAGCCACATAAATAGTTATAAATAAGTCAAACCAGGAGAGATCTGGTCTCCAAGGAGAATGTTTGACTCCCCTGACCTAAACTGTTCCTCCCCACCTTTCAAATACTTACCATGTCCCCACCTCCTTAGATGTAATCTAGCCAACCTCGCTCTCTCTCACTATAAATATGTAGTACTAGAAATATTTCTTCATTCCCCAAGTTTCAGCCTTACAAGTTTAGAGATTCTAATCTCCAACAGCAACTCAAACATGTGTTCTTGTGTGAAATCTCATCCATGTGTGCTGTTAGCTGACCCTGCGATCTGTACTAACTTGAGCTCATAATCACACCTCCTGCATTTTTCAGAGCTATAAATTACTGGATATGACTAACTAGTTAAAAATCCCTTTCTGTATTGTACAGATGGACTGGGTGGCTGGAATACATCGGGGTGTGAAGTGAAACACAGAAATATGTATTACACAATCTGTCATTGTAACCATCTTACCCATTTTGGAGTGTTGCTGGTAAGTACTCCATGAATCATCTCCGGAAGACACTGATGGCACTACACCAAGTCATCACTGGACTTGTGGGAGACATCTTAGTTTCAAATTAGCTTTTAGAGAGCAAACTGTATTTTGCTGGAAGTAATACATCTCTACCCCGATATAACGCGACCCAATATAACACGAATTTGGATATAACGCGGTAAAGCAGTGCTCGGGGTGGGGGGTGGGGGGGGCTTCGCACTCCAGCGGATCAAAGCAAGTTCGATATAACGCGGTTTCACCTATAACGCAGTAAGATTTTTTTGGCTCCAAGGACAGCATTATATCGGGGTGGAGGTGTACTAATAAAGAAAGCAAATAAAAGTAATTTTTAAATTAAAAAAGAAAGTGAAGTCCAATTGCACACTCAGTACAAATTCATTTCACAGCAGTTGTCATTGCATCTTGGCTTTCATTGCATCTTTACAATTTTCCCTAATGAATATTACTGCATTAGCTGTTGTATTGGGTTGTATGGGAATGTTAGTTAGCTGCCAACAGCAACTAATGGTGTTCAGTTTCCCTGAGAGTGTCACTAATTAAACTCTCTTAATCTAAAAATGTATCAGCATTATCATCTATTATTTACATAGCACCAAAAGTGTGTTAAGTACTTTAACAAAGTTCCCGCCCCAAAAACCTTAATATCAAAACCGACCATGTACAAATGAAGGACTGAAAATGGTTGCAACAAAAAGCGAAGTGATTGGGGAATTCTGAATAAACTAGGCAGCAGGTACTAGCAGAATATCCTCACCCTGACATAGGAGAACCTGCATGGGGGAAAACACGTGGTCCATTTCCCTTTGGTATGTGCAATGTAAACACAAATACGCACCTGTGATTAAACTAACTGGCCCCTAGAGGTCATCATTACTCTCCTCAAATATAGATGCAAGAGCCCTATCTGGTAGTAAAAATGTTACTTCTACAAGAAGGAAATTTGAATGTTGTAGATTTCATGCAGCTTGTTGTATTTCTAAATCAGGGATTGGCAACCTTTGGCACAAGGCCTGCCAGGGTAAGTACCCTGGCGGGCCGGGCTGGTTTGTTTACCACCCGCGTCCGCAGGTTCGGCTGATCGCGGCTCCCACTGGCCGCAGTTCGCTGCTCCAGGCCAATGGGGGCTGCGGGAAGCGGCCACCAGCACATCCCTTGGCCCGCGCCACTTCCTGCCACCCCTATTAGCCTGGAGCAGCGAACTGGGGCCAGTGGGAGCTGCGATCGGTCAAACCTGCAGACGCGGAAGGTAAACAAACTGGCCCGGGCCTCCAGATGGCTTACCCTGGTGGGCCGCGTGCCAAAGGTTGCCAATCCCTGTTCTAAATAAAATAAGTCGGACTGAACCAAATTGTAAACTCACTGTTCTCCATTGCGATTCCGGTTACAGACACTGTAGGAACTGTTTTGACTGCATGATGTCTACAATTCTCAGTACAAAAGAAAACAAATTACTCTTGCTTGGTTCAAAAGTCACATATAAAGCATATAGCAGCAGGTTATGGCAGGCAACAAGATGCATGTCATAAACATCATTGGGAACTAATATATGGGAGTGAGGCCCATTTTATTGAGTGTTTTTCACAGCCTGGCTCTTGAAAGTACTTTTTGACTTGGTGAATCCTCCCACACTTCAAAGCATCTGGCATACGTCTCCATCCCCCACTTTCAGCAACCCCCATTTTAACAAACGAGAGTTTCTTCTACAAAATGCGTGTCCATTAAATATTTTTTGCTGTATTACTTTAAAAGCTGCATCGAAGTCTGAGGGGCAATGAGAATGATGCTTTTGCAACTTCTTGGCAATTAAATACTGGATATTTTCCCTGTCTTTGGTATTTCATTACATTCTAAAATGAGTCGTTTGTAAAAATAATAAAAACATTTAGAAAAAAAAATGAATAGAAACTGCTCTCTTTCCCCAGTGTGAAAATGTAGGAGGCAATTGTATTTTTTCTGCATGACGTAGGCCGGTTATGAGTAATGACCAGAATTCTTTATATTTTTTGACCTAGGACTTAACCCGGAGAGAGACAGATGGTGTGAATCATCGCATATTAACTCTGATAACCTATGCAGGATGTGGAGCCTCTGCCCTTTGCTTGGGGGTAGTGCTGGTGATGCACCTAACTCTTGAGTAAGTTGAATCCTTTCTTTTATTGTTTTTTCCCCCATGCAGAAGCAATAATGACCTCCGCAGTCACTACAGGAGTTTTCAGTAACACTGATGCTAGATCAATCAGACACAAGAAGATGATGAAAGGATGATTTGAATATCATACAGTGGAAAAGTGGTGATATAAAACTTCATGCTTCAGGACATAAGACAACTTCCAACTAATGGAGATTAGGAAGCAATTTCCCCTGTGAACATGTTATTCCAAAACTGCCTACTGCCGTGTTTCTTTCACCTTGCTCTGGAACATCTGGTACTGGCCACTCTTGGAGATATGATATGGGCTGTATTCAACCACTGGTTTAAACCAATTTGGCAACTCTTGTGTTCCTAATATGCTGTCATTGTTCTTGCATCTGAATATGGTATCATGGCAAGAGGCTAGAATATCTTGTATGTTCAATGGTGGTCCCAATCTTTATATGCAGTGTTAAAGGAGGCAGAAAATAAAAGATCGTTCCTATTAAACACAGCCTTGAAACGTAGATCTCCTCTTGAAAGTGACAGGTAAAAATGGCACCTGTTATTTAGAGTCATATCTTCTTACTTGAATAACAAATATAAGTTTTTCCTACTTGTAACCCTTGTTTGCACTGTAATGCCAACACAGGTAAAAGAGAGTAAGTGGGTTATTCTTCACTTTGTGAAACATCCATAGAATTGTTTGCTAAATTCCAGTGAGTTGCTCAGATTTTACAGATGGCATAATCTGAAGACAACAGGGTTGCATAGATTAACCAAGAATCTAATTTGGCCTGCTGGTTATGGTGCATGACATGGAAAAAATATAGCATTTTCCAGAACCCAGAAGAGTTTGCAGGGCTTGCAACTAGAAAAGCCTCCTCTTTATTTTTAAACTAAACATATCCAGTATTTGGAAATCATTGAGATACAATAGTCATGGAATCCTACAATGATATTTGTAGAGACACTTCGCAGAGTAGAAGCTCACATTTACTCCAAAGTAAGATAGGAATCCACTTCTTTTTGAAAATTACAGGCCAGTAAGCACCTACAGCCTGAGATAGGCACTGACAAAGCTGAATAAAAGAAATAATTTTCCTTGATCAATACAGATTTTTAAATGTATGGGAAAAGTCTCCAATAATGTAGGGCCTTATGTTATCCTGAAAAAATGGTACGCACAGATTATGAGAACGTAAGAATGGCTATGCTGGGTCAGACAATGGTCCATCTAGCACTGTGTCCGCTCTTCTGACAGTGGCCAGTGCCAGATGCTTCAAAAGGAATGAACAGAACAGGGCAATCATCAGTGATCCATCCGCTGTCATCCAGTCCCAGCATCTGGCAGTCAGAGGCCTAAGGAAATCCAGAGCATGGGGTTGCAGCCCTGACCATCTTGGCTACTAGGTTCATCAATGGCTATCCTCCATGAGGGGTCCGACAGATTTATGATGAGGCCTTATTCTCAAAGGGCAACATAAAGAGCTCTGAGTGTAAATGTGTATCCGGTCTGCCAGGAAGGGGGATCACTCTGCCATTGCAGTGTCTTAGCCCTGATCTACACGGGAGGGAGGGGGATCGATCTAAGTTACGCAACTTCAGCTACGTGAATAACGTAGCTGAAGTCGACGTACTTAGATCGACTTACCGTGGTGTCTTCACCGCGGTGAGTCGACCGCTGCCGCTCCCCCGTCAACTCTGCCTGCACCGCTTGCAGCGCTGGAGTACAGGAATTGACAGGAGAGCACTTGGGGGTCTATTTATCGCCCCAATCAATCCCCGCTGGATCAATCGCTGCCCGCCCATCCGGCGGGTAGTGTAGACATACCCTTAGAGTGTTGAAAAGATATTCAACGGGGTGGAATAGAAATACTCATATGTTTTGTGTATTTTGATGAACTAAAATACCAACTGAATGATGATGAAGCAAAGTTATGGAGAACTATAGGAGGCTCTTTTGGAAAGAAGTGTTTGTCTACATGGGGACTCACAGGGAAGTTACTGTGAAATAGCTAGTGTGTAAATTTAAAGCATAATAGCTATTCCCCACTAACTAGAGAGCTAGTGCACAATAGATCTTCAGCAATTGTTATTCCAGGCTCTTTCCACATGTAGAAAACCACAAGAATTAATTTAGACTGAAAAAAAGGTCATAATTGTATAGTAGCATTGTAGATTTTAGACCTCCATTTCTTCTTGCTTTTTCATTATTTTTTTATTTGTCTTTCTAATTTAAAAGTCTGTCTGCAATCCTTTCAGTTTCAAGGAGTTCCTTTCCATGTGTGGATTTTTCTCTTCACTGTGTTTTTGCTATTTTATTCTCCTCAATGTAAATTTGTTTGTATATGTAAACCTCTCAAACAAAAGGTGAGCTGACACTTCTGGACTAGACACTATTGGCCAAATTACCAGAAAAGTGCACATGCAGTTGCAGTTACTATAACTACTTGCAAACTAGGCTGTTTTTGTGCACAGAAGTACCTATTTAAGCATCTAAACAACTATCCTTTGCTTAGCATTTGAAAATATTCTTTTGGTGTGCATAATCACAATAACGGAGCATGCATTTTTGTGTGCACTTTAACATACATACACACCTGAAAATCTGGTCTTGTACTTCTTACCTGCTCACAGTTATAAGGAATAAAGTGGCAATGCAGGATATACTTACTATTTGATGGATGGTAAGAGGTGATAACTCCTCATAACCACCTAAACAGGTTCATGTTCTTTCCCCATAGAAAGATTAAAAAGTAAATCTTTTTAAATTTGTGAAGAGGAAGGATGGTGTTGTGTTGAAGACACTGGAATAGGACTCAAGAGACCTGGACACAATAGGGAGCTCAGGGCAAGTCACTAAATCTCTCTGTGGCTTAGTTCCCCCATCTGTACAATAGAGCTATTTACACAGTCCTTCTCCGATCCTTTGTCTGTCTTGTGTTTAGGTTATAAATTCTTTGAGGCAAGGTGTGTCTTTTACTCTGTGTTTCTATAGTGCCAGCGCAATGTGGCTCTAATCTCAGGAGGGGTCTTTAGGTGCTATCATAATACAAATAATAATATTGTATTGAGTAAAACATGGGCTATGGCTGTAAGACAATGAAGTTCTTTGTCTTTTCCACTCACTGCAGTCATGCCAATTGTAGAATGCTCCCCGGAACATGGATAATATATACTCTCAGCCTTTGCAGAATGGAAACAGCAGGGAATTGAATTCTATCTGTTATTGGAAGAAATTAGTGTGTAGGGTATGCCCTGATGTTAGATACTAGGGGAGTGTTTTTAATTAAAAACAAGTTTTTATGAAGCTTAGTTATAAGTCACTTAGGCTATTGAATACACATTTTCATTACCTCCTGCTAGAGAACAAAATGTGATAACCTTTCATTAATTGGCAGCAAGTGCAACTGCACAATGACAATATTGGAAAAATTCATTTCTTTTCGCTTTTATTTTAGCAAGCTTCGCAGAGATTATCCTTCAAAAATCCTGCTAAATCTCTGCACTGCACTGCTGATGCTAAACCTGGTATTCCTGGTCAATTCCTGGCTGTCGTCATTTAACAACCATGGCCTGTGTATCACAGTGGCTGTGTTCCTTCATTATTTCCTGCTTGCAGCCTTCACATGGATGGGCCTGGAATCTCTTCACATGTACTTTGCTTTCATCAAAGTCTTCAGTATATACATTCCAAACTATATACTGAAATTCTGCATTGCTGGGTGGGGTAAGTAAGCAGCTTGTCTCTCTTGATATCTGTGCTTGGTTTACTGCTCTAATGTAGGCTTTCCTCACGTGAAAATGCACTGCACCCGTACAGGAAAGATTCCTTAGCCCAGACAGGTCCTGCTGACAGCTACTCCTGGACATGGGAGTGTAGCAGATAGTCCTTGCCGCTCCTTTTCTGCACACGCATACGGGCATGTGGCTCTGTACTGTGCCTGCAAGGCAGTATCTTCATGGATCGGCATCACCCAGCCCTGCTTTGCTGGAGCAAGACTGTTATTGGACCCCTCCATGGATATACAAAGAGAGAGGGGACTTAATGAGCTTCTTTCCCAACCTCTTGTGCGCCTGCACAGGGATCACTCACAATGAGGGGTCCTAGTGATTCTATGCATGCCAGCTGCCTGAATGAAGGCAGCATGGGGGCAGAACCATGGCCCGTCTCCATCCTGTGGCCAGGTAGAGGGGGATCACTCTCTCCATCTCCAAGGACAGTGTCCTGTAGCTGCCACTCCAACATGCACTTCCAGGGAGCCCTGTGAGTGAATGCTGGGTCTCACTCAGAATATTTTTGGGGGACTCCGGCAGCAGCATGGCCCCATCCCTCCAAACAACTGGGCACCAAAGGCATCATGTAGCCATTAGTAGGGAAGACTGGCAGAAAGGGGCTAACAAGCAGGTTTGCATTAAAAAAGGGCAGAATTTGATGCAATGATTGTAGTTCTGTTGAGCTGCCTGGATAGTTGCTAAACTCAGTGACTATTTTTAAATACCACATGTACATCACCATCTCCGTCATTAGATTTTGCACACAACTACGCTGATTATTAGCCTTACAAGAACTCTTGTTTAGGCACAGCTCTTAGCAGGGGTGATGTCTGTAACAATCCTTCTGGCAAACAACAAAAACAGGAGCTGAAAGGAACATGGTAAACAGGAAAGGAGTGGCACTGAAGATTTGTGAACAAGTACTGTTTGAAAAATGTCAACCTCATTAGACTGTTACACTGGGTGCTACTACAAATTTGTCTTTTGCCATTCTAAGATGTTTCTAATAATTAGTAAGGGTTGTGTCTGAGCTATTATTTTAGCAGAGTGGATCCCTTCTGGAGATGTTTGAGAACTCAAACATTTTGCAAACAAAGACATTTTATGCCTACTCATCTGCAGTTTGCATAAATAAATAAAGGGACAATCCTGCTCTGCTGCACATGATTTCAGCAGAGCCTTCAGGTGTGTTATTGAGAAGAGACCTTGATCCACACATCTGTATCATTGCTGTAATTATTAATCATGGACTCTCACACCCAGAAGAGATTAGGAGATTGGATGTCTCCCACTTCCAGATTTCCTTTTTTTTTTGGTCTTAAAATCTCTCTCTCTCTCTTATCTCCCCTGCTATTAGGGATACCAGCTGTTGTAGTTGCTACTCTCCTCATTATAAATGTGGACTTTTATGGCAACGGATCAGTTTCTAAAAACCAGAACTCATTCACTTTTTTGTAAGTATATTTGAAGGAATTGGTCCAACATCTTGTCTCCTTTTATTTCTTCTAGTTCATGCTAATCTCCTTCTCTTTACTTTGCCACTTTGAGTGTCAATTCCTCTTTCTTTGTGGAGAATCTCTTTGCTTCTGGAACACATTAACATAATCTCATAGACTCTTAAGGCCAGAAAAGACCATCATGACCATGTAGTCTGACCTTCTGCGCATTGCAGGCTGAGGTCACAGAACCTGTAATACAGAACCACTCCTGTAATAGAGGACCACTCCTGTAATAGAGGACCCTTAACTTTTGGCTGAATTACCGAAGTCCTCAAATCATGATTTAAAGACTTCAAGTTACAGAGAATCCACCATTTACACTAGTTGAAACCTGGAAATGACCCTTGCCCCATGCTGCAGAGGAAGGCAAAACAACCCCATGATCTCTGCCAATCTGACACAAAGAAAAATCCTTCCCGACCCAAAATATAGTGATCAGTTGGATTTGAGTATGTCGGCATGACCCAACAGCCAGATACTTGGGAAAGAATTCTCTGTAGTAACTCAGAGTCCTCCCCGTCTAGTGTCCCATCGCCTGCCATTGGGGGTTTTTGCTACTAGCAGTTGCAGATTGCCTACAATGGCATGTAGCCAGTCTCATCATACCATCCCCTCCATAAACTTGTCAAGATCAGTCTTGAAGCCAATTAGGTTTTTTGTCCCCAGTTGTCCTCTTGGAAGGCTGATTGGAGTAAATCAAGACATCAAACCTATTCCATGTGTTCAGTGAAGTCTCTATAAAAATAATTTGGTCCGGTGTTCCACGTGCTTATGTTAATTCCCCAGGTTTTTGAACTTTTCTCATTCCTGTATCTCCTTTGTCATTATCAAACCACTCGTAATTTTGAATTCTTCAGTTAGATCACATCAACCTTTCTACTTTTCCAGTGAGAATAAGCTACTCTTTTAGCCTTTCTTCTGAAATAGTGTTTACATCAGGAATACTCCCACTTGCTTTTTGCCATGCTCTATCTAGGATGGTACCATTCCAGTAATAATAAATTGTGTATTTACAATCTGACCAGACAGGGGCAGCCCATAGCTATGGCATCTCATGATCAGAACAGGGAGGGAATTATGTATCAGAGGCACTATTACTACCACACTGGAGCAAGGGGTAAGAAGGAATCTGCTACTGACACATCATCTGAGGAAATTCTAACCAATGCCCATCCATGTGCTGTATTGATAACAGAATAGCTCCCTAATTAGTTATTTTCAACTTTCTATGTTCTTCCCCTTTCCTGTAGTTGCTGGATTCAAGATGATGTTGTCTTTTACATCTCCGTTGTCGCCTATTTCTGCTTAATATTTCTGATTAACATAATGATGTTCATCAATGTTCTTCTTCAAATTCGTATCGTGAAATCAAAGCAGCAAATAAAATCCAAGAACTGGAAGCAGGGCTTTCTCCATGATCTGCGGAGCACGGTCAGCCTGACATTCTTACTCGGCTTAACCTGGGGTTTTGCCTTTTTTGCCTGGGGATCAGCAAGGATTTTTTTCTTGTATGTCTTCACCATTTGTAACACACTGCAAGGTAACTTCTGTATGAGATGCTGATAGCAATATGGTGTATTTTTATCAGTTTATGGATGTGATATATAAATACATTCAGATTGTCATCTTACCAACCCAAACTGGGGTGGTTAAGTAGTTTTGTTTGTATCATTTGGAAGTTTGGAGAGTTTAATAATAAAAATCCTTTTGAGTTAGTGAGATATCATCCTGAACTTTATATATCACTGCCACAATTCAATACTAGTATGTAAGGACTTGTGGTAATGCCTTTGAAATACAGGTCCCAATCTATGCCCTTTTCAGGGACACAGACACAATCCATTTCATCTGGGCATAGAAATGCATGCTTGGATTTTGCAGTGACTAGCAGATTGCCAAGAATGTCTGCCCTAATATCAAATCAGACGGGGACTCTTTTAGTAATCTGTTAACTCATGGGCATTAAGGAAGAGAAGAATAGCCCTCAATAAGTTCTGTGCTAATATAATATAGGCTGTGGATCTGCCTCTCTCAAAGATTCATAGACTTTAAGGCCAGAAGGTACCATCATGATCATCTAGTCTGACTTCCTGCACATCGTAGGCCAGAGAACCTCACACATCCACTTCTGCAATAGGCCCATAACCTCTGGCTGAGTTACTAAGTCCTCAAATCTTGATTTAAAGACTTCAAGTTACAGAGAATCAGCCATTTACTCTAGTTCAAACAAGCAAGTGCCCCATGCTGCAGAGGGTCTCTGCCAGTCTGACTTGAGGGAAAATTCCTTCACAACCCTAAATACAGAGAATCAGTTAGACCTTGAGCATGTGGGCAAGGCCCACTAGCCAAACTCTGTGCTGTATATGATATGTCTGTGATTGAAGAGAGCATGAAAGCTTCAGAAATGAGGCAGGAGGCTGGGCAATCAATATGAAAAATACTGATTTTGTGTTCCTTCTTCTTTTAGGGCTTTTTATCTTTGTATACCATTGCCTGATGAAAGAGACAGTGAGGAAGCAGTGCCAAGTGAACTTTTGCTGGGGGAGGTTTCGGCTCAATAATTATTCTGGTAAGACACTTAGGTTTATTGTTTTGCTTGACTCATTTTTAAGCTATTAATGGCATAAGAATTAAAATGGAAATGCTTTTGTGTCACAAAAGTACTGCTCCTATTCTGGCATTTAAGATTGAGTAAGCTACAGTGAAGGATCAATTGCAGTATATTTTTACCTAATAATTTCTCCTAAAATATCTGAATTGACTTGAATATGAAAGTGCTTTGTGTTGCTGTCTTTATATACTGCACTTCTGTGGCACTTGCCATCCAAGGTTCTCAAAATGCTTTACAAATACACCCCTTACAAGGCCTGCCACTGATGTCACATCCATTCTACACCAGAAAGGTGAGGTGTCCCAATGTACAGGTTTTCCACAATTCCCTTGCTACAGTGGAAAAGTGTTAGGTCTTAACGTTCCTCCATGAATTCTTCATAGATTGGACCTTGATTTATAGAATCAATAGCTAATGTGGTGACGGGGTGACAGCATATAGATACAGGATAGATTTACAAAACAGCTTCAGCCTCACCTCTGAAACTGCAGCTGCAATGGTTTATTGCATGTACAGATGGTATTTTTATACAGAATTCCAATAATTACAGCAAATGCAGTTTGCTTATACAAATCTGAAATTCTGAGCATGCAAAAATCTTTGGCATAATTTTAAAGGCTGTGTAATGGGGTCAGCACCACCTCTCACAATTGCCCCTCTGGTCAGGTGCATGTGCTTGCAGTTTCTCAGTTTGTGATAATGGGGTGGTACCCACCACCTCTCACAAGCTCCCCCCTTGGTTGATGGCTTCTTTGGCAGGTCTTCAGTGGTTCAGCCTTCCAGAGAAGTCACACACACTGTCTGTAAGTGGAACAGAACAAACCTCTTCCAGGGGTTTACCCTCTTTTGGCCCTACTCTGGGGCTGTACCCCCAGGGCTTCCTCCCTGGGGGCACTGTTTTCCTGCAGCCCTCCCTGGGCTCCATCCCAGCAGCCAGCCAGGAGCTCCATCTTAGTTCCCCTGGACCCTGCCCAGACTGAGCTGTCTGTGGCTGTCCCTATGGTACTTTCAGCCAGCCAGGAACTCTCTCTTCCAGCTCCAGGCAGTAACTGACTGAATCTGTCTCTGCTGCTCCTTTTTATATGGCCCTCCTGGCCCCTGATTGGCCATTCCTGCAGCCCCTCTAATTGGCTGCTTCTGCTGCAGCCACTCTTAGCTGCTTGGAGGACTTCTCTTCTGCTCCTCTCTGGGACAGTGTGAGGTGAGGAGGCAGGAGTTGTAGACCAAGCTAGATGAGCAAGCATCTCAGAGAGGTGATTAGGAAAAAGCAGAAAGCCTACAAGGAGTGGAAGATGGGAGGGATCAGCAAGGAAAGCTACCTTATTGAGGTCAGAACGTGTAGAGATAAAGTGAGAAAAGCCAAAAGCCATGTAGAGTTGGACCTTGCAAAGGGAATTAAAACCAATAGTAAAAGGTTCTATAGCCATGTAAATAAGAAGAAAACAAAGAAGGAAGAAGTGGGACCGCTAAACACTGAGGTTGGAGAGGCGGTTAAGGATAATCTAGGCATGGCCCAATATCTAAACAAATACTTTGCCTCAGTCTTTAATGAGGCTAATGAGGTGCTCAGGGATAATGGTAGAGTGACAAATGGGAATGAGGATATGGAGGTAGATATTACCACATGCAAGGTAGAAGCCAAACTTGAACAGCTTAATGGGACTAAATCAGGGGGCACAGATCATCTTCATCCAAGAATATTAAAGGAACTGGCACATGAAATTGCAAGCCCATTAGCAAGAATTTTTAATGAATCTGTAAACTCAGGGGTTGTACCATATGATCGGAGAATTGCTAACATAGTTCCTATTTTTAAGAAAGGAAAAAAAAGTGATCCGGGTAACTACAGGCCTGTTAGTTTGACATCTGGAGTATGCAAGGTCTTGGAAAAAATTTTGAAGGAGAAAGTAGTTAAGGACATTGAGATCAATGGTAATTGGGACAAAATACAACATGGTTTTACAAAAGGTAGATCATGCCAAAACAACCTGATCTCCTTCTTTGAGAAGGTAACAGATTTTTTAGACAAAGGAAATGCAGTGGATCTAATTTACCTCAATTTCAGTAAGGCATTTGATACAGTTCCACATGGGGAATTATTAGCTAAACTGGAAAAGTTGGGGATCAATATGAAAACTGAAAGGTGGATAAGGAACCGGTTAAAGGGGAGACTACAACAGGTCATATTGAAAGGTGAACTGTTAGGCTGGAGGGAGGTTACAAGTGGAGTTCCTCAGGGATCAGTTTTGGGACCAATTTTATTTAATCTTGGTATTACTGACCGTGGCACAAAAAGTGGGAATGTGCTAATAAAGTTTGTGGATGACACAAAGCTGGGTGGTATTGCCAATACAGAGATGGACCGGGATATCATACAGGAAGATCTGGATGACCTTGTAAACTGGAGTAAAAGTAATAGGATGACAGTTAATAGTGAAAAGTGCAAGGTCATGCATTTAGGGATTAATAAAAGATCTGCTCCAGGAAGTATTTTGGGAAAGTTCTATGGCCTGTGTTATACAGGAGGTCAAACTAGATGATCACAATGGTTCCTTCTGATCTTTCAATCTATGAAATTTTATTTCTCATTTTATTGAAATCTTTCTCAAGATTAATGTCACTTTGGGGGGGGGGGGGGTTTGCTAGGCACAATGTAGCCTTGGGTGTGTGATTATATATTAACACTCAGAACACAGACAGATGTAATAGACATATTTGAAGATTTACAACAGGAGGGCTAACACACCGAAAGGAATAAAGGCAGAAGAGGAAAGTGTGTTGCAAATGTTCTTACATGCATCACAGTATATTATAAATAGTGTTTAAAAAAGAACAGAGAGGAAATTTTATTTTATAGTTATGCAAATAATTCACCAAAGAGACAGTCTATGGAGGAGCGTCTAATGAAATATACCTAGAAGAACACAAGAAAGCAATGGGACAATTACATCTTTTGGGTGCTTACACTTCAAAATCAGGTTTATCAACGCAAGATCATTTCCATCTGCAATAAATGCCAACAAAACTCCAGCCCAGAGTGACCAAACTGTAATATATGTCTCCACCAGAGACCCACTCAGGAGAATTAGTATATATGTTATATAGTACTGGAAACATTTCCCCAATGTACAGAGATTGATTCCTCTGTAGTGTAGTTGTGAGTGTATTACACAGTACCTATTTCCAAACACTGCTACCTCAGGAAACCACTCGGAGTGCCATGGAGTAATCAGCTGCATCTCATGATATAGCGACCTAACTAACTGCACCCAAAATATTATCTCTTATATGGCCTTTTATTCCCAAACTCACCACTCTGTAATTTCAGATTGGAGCAGGGCAGGAACATCTGCTGGATATAAACCAAGAAATTTAGAGCATAAACTATCATCGCATTCTTTGAAATCAACCAAGTCTCTGAAGTCTAATGCAACAAGCTCAACTTCCAATGGTTCAGGCTCCTTACCGGAGACATCTTTGGATATGGACTTGAGAGCAGGTAAAAGGAAAGTAATGTGCACCTTCGGGGGAGGTTTAGGTTGGATATTAGGAAAAACTTTTTCACTAGGAGGGTGGTGAAGCACTGGAATGGGTTACCTAGGGAGGTGGTGGAATCTCCTTCCTTAGAGGTTTTTAAGGTCAGGCTTGACAAAGCCCTGGCTGGGATGATTTAGTTGGGGATTGGTCCTGCTTTAGGCAGGGGGTTGGACTAGAGGACCTCCTGAGGTCCCTTCCAAACCAGATATTCTATGATTTTTATAAAATCAGAATGTAACAAGCCCAAGCTGTGGAAATAGAAAAATGTTGCTACTGTGTCTGTGTCAGACTCAGACTTCAGGCTAGGGTTTCTGTTACAGCCAGCTTCTGCTAGGCACAGCAGAGTTGGAAGGTTACCAAAGAGCTGGCTATGGCTTCCTGAGTCTCTACTCAGACTTACCGCTAAGTACAGACGGGGGCTATTCTAATTTATGCCATCTGACAAGAGTCCTCAAGAAATTGCAGAAGTAAATTCTACTCTGGGTTCGCCCCCTTCCATTCCCAACATGTTACATATACTGGGGGTTGCACAGGAGTGAGCTTTGCCAGCTCTTTGCCAATTAGGGGCATCTACACCCTAAAAGAATCCCAGCAGGAGAGTTACACCTTAAAGGGGTCTGATTTTCAGAAAGTGCTAAGCACTCACACTCCAGAAAAGGAGTCTAACGTTTGGCATGCAAAATCATTCATCATTTTTGAAACAGGCCTACTTTCTTTCTCTCCCAAGGAAGTTAAAGCATAGTGATATTCTGTTCTCCCTCTTATTTGGAAAGGTTTGTTGTAATGAGAGCATTACATAGAAATCTGTATTTTTAAACTTGTAAACAAGGGAATCAAACCATGGTTACTGAAAATGATCCTTTATTCATTTTGCCTAGCTGAGGTGCAATACAACCCAGGCTCTGTAACTCCATCTGCTTATCAGTGAAAACATCCTCGGGCAAGAAGAATATCACCTGTGGATATATAACTGCACAGTATGCAGAAAACTAAGTTTTTGCAGTGATACCCAACCTATTTTTTTCTGCTTAGCTGAAGACTGTCTATTTTGTGGCCTGTACAAATAAATGTTTATCCTAGTATTTATTTAATTATAAAATAAGCATTCTGAAGATTGTTATAGGGCTAAAGTCCTGCTCATGCAACCTTTTTGGCTTCAAGGGGTTGCATTCCTTCCTGCATATGTGGGGAGAATTTGGCCCTCTCGTGTGTGTGGTGGTTGCAGTATCAAGCCCCTGATGTTAAGTCTTGATTTCATAATGGAATGCTGCTGAATGATGATGTATGTGACACAAAGATCCATTAATGATTTTTGTAACTGTCTGATTTAATTGTTAATTAGCATCAGCATATCAAACCATGTTCGGATCCAAAAGCTACACTTAACTTACAATTAATAAAATGCAGAACTGGTAAAAAACATAGGCGTGGAGTTTCCCAGTAAGAAGAGCATGAAACAATAACCCTGGATGTATAAAAATGTCTCATTTTTAGGGAGTGGCAAACCTTATGGATGGTGAGGCCATGTCTACACTATATACTTTGGTCGATGTAAGTTAGATCAGTGTAAAGCCGCTGCAGCTAGTATATTGCTCACGCGCATGCTGAGACGTGAGTAGCAATTGCACTCTGGAAGCCTGCAATGCCAGATTGCTACTGGTCAGTGGAAAATCATTTTGGAGTTGGAAAATCCAGTGAGGGCTGTTGCCATGCAAGTGTGCAGGGCCATTAATAATCTCCTGTTATGCAGAACTGTCTTGGCAATGTGCATGGATGGACTTGGAGCTATGGGGTTTCTGACCTGTGTTGGGGTGCAGGGCCGCCCAGAGGATTCAGGGGGCCTGGGGTCTTCGGCGGCGGGTTCCAGGGCGGAAGGACCCCCCCCGCAGCCAAATTGCCGCCGAAGACCCGGAGCGGAAGAGGCTCCGGGGGCCTGGGACCCGCAAGAGTTTTCCGGGGCCCACAGAGCGAGTGAAGGACCCCGCTCCAGGGCCCCCGAAAAACTCTCGTGGGGGCCCCTGTGGGGCCCGGGACAAATTGCCCCACTTGCCCTCCCACCCCCGGGTGGCCCTGTTGGGGTGACAACCAGCCTGCACATCCCTATTTGGCACCAGTCCATCTTGCCACAGAGTACATCAACAGAAAGGGCTATTTT